CTATTTAAAAAAGTTGTATCATTTTTTAGTAAGAATATATCATAGGATATGTAAAAAAAGTTGCTCAGCTGTTTATTAAAATTCAAAATTTTCATACACAAAAGTTACAGAATAGTTTTATTAGGTTGCGAGATTGACTAAGAGCTTATACAGTATAAAGTATTGTCACTGTAACTGTTCCAGTCTAAAATAACACTCTAAACTGTACCCTCTCTATTATGTTCAACATTTCAGCAACCTACTTGCATAATATGATCTTCTGATAGTTCTTTTTTGTAGAGGTAGACCCTAAAAAATAGTTGTACACATCTATTTTTATCAATTTTTTATTAACATTTAATGGTATATTATTCCATTTTATGGAAGAACTATGTGTGGTAAGATAATAAAAATTTTAATGAAAAACGTTTGTTTGAAGATGGACTAATATATATATTTTTTTCAGCCCATCTTATTTTAATCATACGGTACATTTCTTAGTGTAAATCCTTTCCATTTTAAGTGAGGTACAAATCTTTTTGCAACGGCCCATACCTCCTAATAGGATATGGAAAAAAAATAAAAAAAAATAAATATACTTATAAAAGAGATTGAGATTAATATAGACGGATTTTACCATGCATATGAATCCTAAAGACTTTTGGATTCTCTAAGGACCCTGGAAAATACATATATAGGTCATAAATGATCTGCACAAAATTATGGGTATTTCGCTACCCTTAAAATTAGTTAAATTCGCCAAAAATTGAATTATTACATACAAATTTAGTATTAATTTGCCAAAACTAAATTATGACTTTATTTTTATATGTAAATAATTATGTAAAAAAAAAAAATTTTATTTATTATATTTATTTATTAAGATTTTATTTATTATTATTTTTAAGGAGTGCATTAAAGTATTTCTTTGCTTGCCCTTTAAGAATTAATGCTTCTTCACTAATAATAACATTTTTTAATATCAAATGATGAATAATATGTGAAGTTTTAGTATGAGAAAAAATTAAAAAATGATGATCCCGAATCTCTGAAAAAATTGCACCATTAACATGAAAGAAAATTTTCATAGATACATAAGAAAGAGATTTGAGATCTGAAACAGAAGTATCAGTATATGAATGCATCAAGGACTTTTGTTCATACATAGCAATGATTTGAGCAACACAAAATGTATTGTCAAATTTAGCTATCACGAAAGATCCAATTTATAACGGTAAAAAAGCAGAGTTATCAGCACGTGGATGATCTAAAAATAGAAAAAAATGTGAAAAAAATTCATCTTTAACAATTAATGATTTATAGATTAGTTTATCTTTTGTGTTATTATTAGTATTTTTACTTGACTTCCATCTATTTTCTCACGATTTAGTTAAAGTAGAATCATCATTTTTCGTTAAATATGAAACCAAATTACTGGCCATATTAACATCAAGTTTGTCTAAAGTATTATTTTCATTGTTTCTAAAAACAGTTTTTGTTCGTTCAAGATTTCTACTCGTATAAGAATCATGAATTTGACATAAATCCAAAAAGAAATCAACATTTAATTCATCATCCAATATATAATTACAGTTGAATTTAGGATCTATTTATAAATATAAAATACAAAATTAGCAATAAAATAATGAAGAATTAATTACTGTTATTATTTACTGTTTGGAAACCATGAAATGTCAGGTAAGTTTTCTACAAGTTCAACAATTACTTGACAATTATAATTTTTTTCCATCGGAAATGTAACTTGCGAATCATTAGAATTAATTTCTTTTTTTCGATTTATATTCATTTTAGATATTACGTGATTTATACATTGATTAGTTAACAAATTATCCATATTAAATTCGTCATTACTATCCATAATTCTAGGATTTGGATAATCATACCAAAAATCATCAAGCTGTAAATCTGGAAATCTCTTATGAATATTAAAATAATAAGCATCATCTGGTACAGCTGTCATTTCCAAATATTTTGCTAGATGAATAGCTCTCTCATAACCTATACTAATTGCATTATCAATTTCAATATCAAATGGCCAATACCATAAACATTCAAGATTATTGTTTGAAAAATTAATTTCTGCATATTCATTAAAATCATAACCTAGTAATAATGTAAGTTTCGTAATAAGTAAAAAATAAAATAATTTTTTTTTAGTTTAATTTATGCTTTTTGTCATTAATGTTTAAATTAATATGAACATATATATAATATCATGAAGATTATATTATTGATTGAATAAATGGTGATATATATTTAAAACCAACATATTCTGATAATAATAGGAAACCTTTTTGGTCAAAAAAAGATAAATCATTAAAATAATCACAGAATATATATTAATCATAATATTTACCTTCACGTATGATTTTTTCCTTTCTAAATAGAAAATTATCTGATTGAACAGACCTAAGATATTGGTTAATTTTCGGAACCATTTGAAGAATTTCCAAATAATTGAAATCAAAACGAAATTATCGAGAAATTCCAAAAATATGTTCACAAGATTCATTGCCATGCTTCCATGGTAATAAAGGTATATTTTTATAGTAATCTCTGTGAATCTTAATTAAAAGAACCAAAGATTCAACTAAACTAATCATAATATTAAAAGTTTGCATTGCTAAAAAGTTTTTTGAAATAGATATATATGAAGGATAGTAAAGATCACTAAGAGTCTTGATATGATACTTCCACAAATGTAAAAAAAAATATGTGGTCATAGCCATTTCGATCCTCTCATTATGTGTAATGTTTCAATTAAGGTAACTATCGAGAAGCTCACCTAAAATAAATTAATATTAATTAATAAACCAAATTTCAAAATAAGTAATAAAAGATTTTGAAATTAACACATTATACATACCCATAACAAAGAGATATACAAATAATTCTCAAAATTCAGATGATAATCCTTTTTCTCCATCTAATACTTGTGCCAAATTTTTTGAGCAAAATACTCTATACGCAGCATTATCATTCTGATGGTCCAATTTTATTACATCTCGCTTATACATAATGCTATTTTCTTGAAAAGATAACGTTAACAGCTGATCAAATTAAACTGTAGAATTACCAAATGTAAGTAAACAAGCACCAGATATGGCCGCATTTCTTGCTGGTTTTTTCCCATGTTTAGGATCTTGAATATGAACTATACCAACTTTAGGAAATACAGGACAGTTGAAATTGATTCCATATTGGGAATTTCGATGTTGAACACGATTTCTTATTTTAATTGATTATAGTAAATTTTGTGTCTGAAATTCAGCAGCAGCACCATCTGATCTGATAGAAATTATAGGTAATTCAAAATCTGCTGCAATATCAATAAGTTTCTCATAAAGTGCTAAAATTTTTTTAGCACTGTCATTTCCAGTTGGAATTAATGCCACAATTACAGGTGGAAACTTCAGAAGAGGTATCTAATAATTTTAAATCAATTAAATTTAATAATAGTAATTAAAATTTGATCAATTCTTTTAATAAATTTACCTGAAAAACATAAATTCTAACATATTTTGCAATCGCATTTCTTTGCTTGATATCAGAAATCTTTTTATATATATCATTATAGGTTTCAATTTTGCAATCATTTTGGTCTAGAGTTGATTCAACAATATAACCTAAATTTGTTGAATATTGCAACCAGGACTTTAAAATTGTACAATCTGTCATGACTACAACAGGACCTTTATAGTGTAATGAATCTAAGAGCCTTTTAAATCGAGCAACATTCTCATAACAAAGGTCGGGATTGTTAATAGTATCTTTAGAAATACTTCTATGATACCTATATACATATAAAAAATTATGCTTTATTATATATATAATCATGCTAATTAGATAATTTTTAATTGTATTATCATTACCTTATTGTACAAATTATCATTAAGGTTGCTTGTCTAAACCTCTTCAAAATCCTACGATTAGTTTCGTCAAATTTTTACTATAGATTTATTATAGTTTCGGCAGAGTTTTGGCAGTTTTGGCATTTATAATAAGTTTTGGCAGTTTCACTTTTCTCCAAAGTTTTGCCAGTTTTTTAATATAACTTTAATATAGTTTCAGCAGAATTTCGCTTTTTGGCGAAACGCCATCTTACCTAAACTCCTAGGTTTTGGCAAGCAACCTTAATTGTCATACTAGCTAAATTCTGACAGAACAAATCTAATGCTTTTAAACTAATACTTCCCAACACTATAAGAAAATTTAAAAATTCAGTTGAATATTTGAGATTTCGTAAGCCTTTTCCTTGTTCTTCACGTTCTGCAGCTTGTAACATAATATAGCAAAGTTCTTTAAATACTGGTTTTTGGTCAAATGCACCTTGAACAGCTTTATTAGCAAGTTTCATCCAAAATCTTACAGATGAATCCTCAGTATCAAGAAATTCATTTAATTGTTTAATATGACCATTTTTTAGATATGTTAATAACGGATTATTTTCATAATAAAATTTCGGTGTAAATTTAGTATTTTTGGATCGGGAACAGCACAATGCAAACAATTCAAAAAAGTTGAATTAAAATAAATATGGGAACATGGTGAATAGGGTTGCCCATAAGTTTTTTTCTCACAATTAACTGATCGAATGCACATTTCTAAATTAAACGTCAGTATTAATAAATTAATAAATGATCATTATACGTTAACTAATTTTTCTTACCAAGACGATCAATAGACCATTCTGATTCAACGATCATTTGCTGATTAAAATCAGTTATTTCTTTCTTATTGAGCTTTTTAGAATTAAATGGTAGTTTATTTAAAAACTTATTTGAAAACATTTCTTTTCCAATTACTTCTCATCGTCGTGCACCTCCATATGTAGCTGGTGTTTGATTAATATAAGTAACAATTTGTTCAGAATGAAGTCCAGGACATAGTTTATTTGAAAATGATGGCGGTGGTGGCGGTGATGAATCTTCTAAGTCTTCTCTTACTTTTTTAGGATTAGGTAAGATAGGAAACAAATCAGGTAAACCAAGTTGTCGTTTTTAGTTATTTATTTTACATCTTGAGTTTCTAGAATGTTCGTTAAGCCTTTTTTCATCATAATCGTTATCAAGAATAACCTTTTGTCTACATTTGCAAAATACTTCACGTTTATTAATAATAGCTGCACAAAATTTATTATCACTTAAGCGAGTTCGAGTATGCTTCCACTTCAACATTATAAAAGTAAAGTTTTAAAAGTTTTTGTAAAAAAAACACGTATTTAGTTTCAAAATATATACTTCTGATTGTGAGAAAGGGTGAAAAAAAATACCAAAACAGGATAAATTTGCTAAAACAAATAATATGACTATGAAAAAATCCATTCAATTCGCCAAAACGTATAATATGACTATGAGAAAATTCATATAATTCGCCAAAACTAAAAATTATGACTACCCCTTAAATTATGAATTTGCCAAAACTTAAATTTGGACATTAAATTAAATTTGAGTTAATTCGCTAAAACTTAAATGTGACCTGTATATGTATTTTTCGGGATCCTGCGTGATCTGTATATGGTGTTAAATTCTTAAAAAAAAAATTATTTTTTATTTATTTCACAAAGATCAATAAAAAATGTGAAAATCAAGGATAAGATCAAGAGTAATCACATCCTAAAGATAAAAAACATAAAGATTAATAAAAAACGTGAAAATTGAAGATAAGATCAAAGGGTAATCACATCCCAAAGATAAAGAACACAAAGATCAATAAAAAACGTGAAAATTGAGGATAAGATTAAAGGGTAACCACATCCCAAAGATAAAGAACACAAAGATCAATAAAAAACACGAAAATTGAGGATAAGATCAAAGGTAATCACATCCCAAAGATAAAGAATATAAAGATCAATAAAAAATGCGAAAATCAAGGATAAGATCAAAGGGTAATCACATCCTATACATGAAGTTAAAATTAAAGCCCAAAAGTAGAAATATTTCAACTTGGGAAGGTCAAAAGTCGAAATTAAAGTCGAAATGGTCGAAATTACATCATAGTCATGTGATTTTTATAATTATAATTTAATATAAAATTTTAAACGTGAATAACTCCGTCAATATTGATGCTACAAATATGAAATACATATCATTGGAATCCTCTCGATGAGCCGAATCTAACCGTGTAAAGATCATAAAAATCGAATCACTGGATGCGGAGTTCGTTAACTTTGAATTTAATATTATTGTTTACTATAAAATCATATGACTATGACGTAATTTTGACTATTTTGACC